TATAAAAGTGGGGAGTGACATCATGACTGGACCTCACTCTCCCTACAACACACCTGAAAACACCAAAGGAAAAAAGACTGAAATGGGAGGAAGTGCTGGTCCCAGAAAGGAATAAAGCCTGCCTGTGTATGCAAAAGCTAACTTGCTTGTACTATCTAACCTGGTGAGGTAATACTTGATTCAAATCATAACTAGTATATTAGGCTTAGATTGCGTTTTGCTTTATTTCTAATGGTAATTTACTTTGATCTGTTTGCTGTCACTTATAATCACTTCAAATCTATATTTTGGTAGTTAATAAACCTGTTTTATGTTTTATCTTAACCAGTGTGTTTTTGAGTGAAGTGTTTGGGGGAAAATCTCAGTTCAGTTAACAAGGCTTCACATCAAGGGTGGGGTGGACTGGGTAATAAATTCATACTGGTCAAGTTTTGACCAGGGCAGGACAGTACAGCTCCAGGGTCCTAGGCTGGGGAGCTGGGGGTATTTTGGCTGGAGCCTCTCTATTGTTGGTTCATGCAGTGGCTGGCAGAGCATTCATGAACACAGCTGGGTGTGGCCCTTGCCTGTGGATGGTGGTGTGAATGCAAGCTTGGAGGACTTTGAAGCTTGTCACACTGTCACAGTGTGAGAGGGAACCCAGACTGGTAAGACAGAGGGCTCAGCTGTACCCCAGTTCCAGGTGGCACCCCAGGGGGGTCCATCACAAAATGAAAATAAAAAGGTATGTGGGACATTGTAAGGACAATGATATGGAGCAAATATTCTGCATTACTTTTATTTACTGGTTGAAGTTATTAGTTCTTGTATTAATGCTCCAAAACTGATATAGGAAAGTAAATGCAAAGTAATGCACATTGGAAAACAATACCAGCTATAAATACTGAATGATGAGGTCTAAATTAGCTGTTACCACTTTAGAAAGCAAGCTGGGAGTCATTGTGGATAGTTCTCTGAAAACATCCACTCGTGCAAGGTGTGACGAACTGGGACTGTTCTTACTGTGGTCTGTGAATGCTGACAGGGGAGTGTGGCTGGGATAGTCTGCATTGCGGGATGGGAGTCTGCCCGAAGGCGCATACCTGAGTGTGTAACATGAGAACCCAGGAAGGGGTTGAAGGCCAGGTGATACCTTGGCCCGGGAAACTGAACAAAGGCTGTGGGAGGGGTCGCTGAAGGCAGAGTCTGGGAAGCTGGGTGGTGAGATGGCTGGGAGGCAGAGATTGCTCTGAGCTCCCAAAGGGGGGTGGGCTGGGATGCCCTGGGACCCCAGATGGACCTAACTGAGGGGGGCCCTGTTGTCTGTGCCTGCAAGACCTGTCTTGGACTGTATTCCTGTCATCCAAATAAACCTTCTGCTTTCCTGGCTGGCTGAGAGTCATGGTGAATCGCAGGAAGCCGGGGGTGCAGGGCCCTGAGTCCCCCAATACTCTGTGACACAAGGGCAGTCAAAAAGTAAACAGAATATTAGGAGCCATTAGGAAGGCAATAGATAAGACAGAAAATATCAAAAGCTCTCAGGTGTACAGTTCATGGCAAGGGATAAAAAGGAACCATGGCCTGTACAGGGATAGAACCCACGACCTTGGCATTATTAGCATCACACTCTAACCAGACAAGTGACATTAGGTTTTATTGCAGAGCCAGTTCTGCAGGCCACCTCCTATGTCACAGTGCCCCCTAGTGAGGTATTACAGACACTGCAACTGAACACACGGCTCCTTCACTGACGGCCTGCTAGCAGCTCAGCTAGATCCCTGCAGACATAACTTGAGTTAACTCACACTTAAAGTGTAGATACGGGCTTAGGTATATGAAATGTTTGGGAGAGGTAACAGGAACAGTATGAGGGTAGACTAAGATTCATTCAGGTGTTTAGGCTCAAGGCATTGGAACTGGCCTTACTGCACCCTACAGGCTCAGGAACAAAGAGGCACATAAAAAAAAGATATCATTTATTTATTAAAATTTCTTGACTCAAGGGTGTATAACTCATGATTTTAGAATTCTTGTGGTTGTAAAGGTATATTGGGGTTGTAGCTGTGTGTTGATTATATTTTGAAAGGCAAAACTATGAATGGGTTGAACAAAGAATTAGATCAGTCCCTCAGGATAAGTACATTGGCTATTAGCCAAGATAATCAGGGATGCAGGCCCATGCTCTGCATGTCCCTAAACCGTCCTTTGACTGCCAGATGCTGGGAGTGGACAATGCGATGGTTCACTGAGTCATTGCCTGGTCTGATCATTCCCTTAGAAGCACAAGACAGGATACTAGATTAGGCGGACTATTGGTCTGACCCACGATGGCAGTTCTAATTTTCTGCAAAAATTACAATAGATTTTTTTCCAGGGAGAAAGACGTTATAGGAGATAGTATCCTGCCTTTACTGAATATATGAGAATCAAGTTGTACACAATGGCATGTGGAAAAACACTAAGGGCTAGACTGAGAGGCAAAAATAACAGTTGCAAAAATGCCAAAAATGCAATCCCCATTGGTGGATTGACTCAAAACAAAGTTTTGACACTAGGCCAGAAATTCAGTCAGCCCTAAAATGAGAAGAAAAAATTAAATTTAAAAATTCAGGGAATTCGGGAAATCTCAGCAGCAGATAAGACAACTTGGGAAACTGCTCAGAGACTCTATGCAATCAGATACAGTGATATGGGATTCTTTGTTTCTGGGGGGATATATGAAAAATGTTTCACTGAATTAAGTGTCAGGGATTATCTACACTGGCAGGTTAAAGCGCTCTCACTTGCTGGCTCAGGGGTGTGAAAAATCAGCAAGTTTGAGCGCTTTAAAGCGCTAGTGTGGAGAGGCTCGGCTCCCAGTGCTCGGAGCTAATCCCCTCGTCGAGGTGGATTACCAGGAGCACTGGCACCTGTGACAGCACTTTGAACTTTGTAGTGTAGACATAGCCTCAGTAGGTTAGATCAGACAAAGAGGAGTGGCATTGACTAGGCATTGGGATGCCTGTGCCTTTAAGAACCCAGCTCTGGGAACCGGATGCTGAGAGGTGCTGTCTGTGAGAGGGGAAATAAAAAAAGCCCCTTTGCCCCCCACCATTTTTGCAAGCACTGGTGTCTCAGTCCCACTGGGGCATAGGCATGCGCACGGGGTATGCCGGGTGTGCCCGGGCACACCCTAATGCCTATGGGCCGGATCCGGATCTGGCCCCTCAGGGCTTTGGATCCGGCCCGCAGGATTTGCCCCCGTGGTGCCGCAGGCCCCGCGCTGCTTTCAGAAGCAGCCATCAGGGCACCATGTCACTAGGGCGGGGGGGGGTTGCTCCAGGCACCGCCTCCCGAAGCTCCCATTGGCCGGGAACGGGGAACCGCGGCCAATGGGAGCTTCAGGGGAGATACCTGGAGGCGTGGCAAGGACAGCGTGCAGAGCCCTGTGCCGGCCCCCCCAAACCCCTGGGGCTGCGCGGGGACGTGGGGAGCGGGGCGGCGTGGGGCACTGGCAGGCAGGGAGTGTACCGCTGCGGGTAAGCGGCGCCGGGCCGGAGCCCGAACCCCTCCTGCACCTCCTGAGCCCCCTGCCTGCACCCTGTTGAGCTGGGCTCCCCTTCCCCAGCGCCGGGCTCGCTGCTTTAACAGCCCCATGTGCTCACTGGCAGTCTCCCACCCAGCAGCACCAACACAGCCACTTAAGATGGCCCGTGGGGATGCTGCCTCAGGCCCCCCCCAGGCAGCTGCCCCCCTCCAGGGCCCCAAACCGACCTGCGGCTCCCCGCACTGGCCGGGGCCCAGGCACCACCCAGGGGATCAGGCCGCCCCTGAGCCCAGCCCACCTTAAGTGGGGCCCGGGAGCCAGCAGGCCTGGGGCAGGGGGCAAGCCCGGGCCACAGGCCCCCCCGCAGCCTGGCTGCGAGCGCAGCTCCCCGGCGCTGTTCGGGGGCTCCGGTCCGGCACCCTCGGCCTTGAGTCCAGCCCTGGGAGCAGCCCGGCCCCTCTGCGATCCACCCCGGCTGCCTCTGCTCGGCCTGGCCCCAAGCGCCCAGCCCGGCCCCGCAGCCTGCCTGCTGGGACTGGGGAGCCCAGATCCCCAGCCCCGTGCCTGCCTGCAAACAGCCTACCTCCTGCACCCCAACTCCCTGTCATGAGCCCCTGCCTGCACCTCTCACCCAACCCCCTGTCCTGAGCCCCCTGCTGCACCCCTCCTGCACCCCAACTCCCTGTCATGAGCCCCCTGCCTGCACCTCTCACCCCAACCCCCTGCCCTGAGCCCCCTGCCCCCCAACCCCTGCCCTGAGTCCCCTGCCATACCCTGCACCCCAATCCCCTGCCCTGAGCCCCCTCCTGCACCCCAACCCCCTTCTTTGTGCTCCCTCATACACCCCACACCCTTCCTCTGCCCCAATCCCTTGCCCTGAGCCCCTTCCTGCACACTGCACCCCTCCTGAACCCCAGCCCCCTGCCCTGAGCCCTCTTCTGCATCCCACACCCCTCCTCTGCCCCAATCCCTTGCCCTGAGCCCCTTCCTGCACACAGCACCCCCTCCCACACCCCAACCTTTATGATGTTTGCCTTTAAAAAAAAAATTCCCTGGGTGCACACCCTAATGAAGTGTGCTGCGCACGCCTATGCATTGGGGTAACTGTTCCCCCTCTGCCCCTGCCTGTGCTGGGTTTTGCCCTATGACACCCTCTGCCAGCGCCTCGCTCCTGGGTTTAACTCCGCTTCCTCCCTGATTTTGCACTTCAGCCCCTCTCCTAATGCTGCCTCCAGCTGCTTGACCCCCCCCCCCTCAGTACATTTTCACCCCCTGCTCAGACCCTGGCCGCCCTCTGCTCCAATTCGCCCCCTTTGCCCCTTTTTAACCCCTGTAAAAAGCAGTCCCCAGAATCTTAGGGCTAATAAGGGGAGGGTGAAGGCCAGTGGCTTCAGCAGATGTACTGAACATGCTCAGATTAACTGAGAATGCTCAGTACACTGTAAATAGCACATTACCAGGGGGAACACTTTTACTATACTAGAAAGTATCACGTGGCCGGTTAGCTCAGCTGGTTAGAGCGTGGTGCTAATAACGCCAAGGTCGCGGGTTCGATCCCCGTACTGGCCACAGTTGCTTTTTTTCCCCCCTGCCATGAAATGCAGATGTAAGAGCTGTGCCTGCTCTTTGTGTTTATTTGTGTCTTTACCTTCAAACATTGGGGGGAGCTGTGTTACTCTGTATCCACAAAAACAACAAGGAGGCCAGTGATACATTAGGGGGAAGGGATAGCTCAGTGGTTTGAGCATTGGTCTCCTCAACCCAGTATTGTGAGTTTAATCCTTGAGGGGGTCATTTGGGGCTTTATCCTGCTTTGAGCAGGGGGTTGGACTAGATGATCTCCTGAGGTCCCTTCCAACCCTGATATTCTATGGCACTTTAAAGTAAACAGATTTATTTGGGCATAAGCTTTCATGGGTAAAAAAACCTCACTTCTTCAGATGCATGGAGTGAAAGCTGTTTGAAAGCTCCCCAGGCTGTTTGGGGAGGCACAGCCTTCACTACCCGGCCCTCCATACAGTGTTGCAATGTGGCCCTCGGGTAAAAAAGTTTGCCCACTCCTGGCCTGGATGGACCCAGTATGGCCATTCTTATGTTCTTATGTTTCCCATAGAACAGCAGTGACACGTGGTGGCCAGTTTGAGTAATGCACAGAGTTTGTTTCCCATGGAGCGGTAGTGACACCTAAAGGCATGTTTAGGTCATTCAGACTGTATACACTAAATTACACCAATTGGCTATGGGGAGTTTTTCTTGCTCAGTTTTACATTTTGTCAATGGGCAGTGGGGGAGGGGCAGGTGGGTCAGATATTCATAGATTCCAAGGACAGAAGGGACCATTGTGATCATCTAGTCTGACCTCCTGTATAACCCCGGCCAGAGAATTTCCCCCAAATAATTCTTTGGGTGAGTATTCTTGCTGCCAAATGCACTGGAAGGCAGTTGGAAAGATGGGGCAAATGCTATTCTTATACATGCCCCTTTCCATGGTTGCCTCCTGAGGTCTGCTGACAGGTGCTTTAGGAGATGTGCCAGGAGAAGGGCAGGGAGTATTGCTTCATTGACTTTCTGCTGCACTGCAGCCCATCACTCTAGCATTTGAGTGCCTTCCATATAGAATTGCCAGCAAGAGTGAAATCCCCAGCAGACGTCACGGAGTCTCTGGCATTTTGCTCTCTTTGGGCTCAGGTGTCTGCTGGGGGAAGAGCGTCTCATTTTATCACTGTTAAAAATGTTATTAATTTACTTGTATGTTTTTTGCAGGGTCACTGTAGTGAGTTCTGGGGTGTTAGCCACTTGTCAGGGGGGAAATCTCCATGCATGTGAGGCTGTTTGCTGGGGGCTACCCAGCACAGTGGTCCCATCCAAGCCTTATCAGGCTCAGGTGGGCTAACCCCATAGCCCCTGTGGAGCTTTAGGAGGCTCTTTCAAAGGCCCTTCTATCAGCTCGCCTGCCTGGGGGAGCAAGGCACCTGTTTAGTATGGGTGGGGCTGATGAGCTGATTCTGCCCCATCTTACAGCTGGGACCCACGTGTGTTAATGGAGAAAGGCAGGACACGAACCAGGGGCTAGATGCTGAACTCAGACAATTCAAACTGGAAATGAGGCACAAATGACTAACCACTGGAGCAAATTCCCCAGGGAGGTGGTGGACTCTCCATCCCTGGCTGTGGTCAGAGCCAGACTGGAGCCTTTCTGGGAGAGGCTTCAGGCAAACACATTACTGGGGTCAGTATAGGGGGAACAGAGTGAAACCTGCTGGCCTGTGCTATGCAAAGGGCAGACTGAATGATCTAGTGCAGAGGTGGGCAAACTACGGCCCGCGGGACTGTCCTGCCCAGCCCTTGAGCTCCCGGCCAGGGAAGCTAGCCCCCGGCCCCTCCCCTGCTGTCCCCCCTCCCCCACAGCCACGCCGCCACGCAGACAGCGCTCTGGGCGGCGGGGCTGTGAGCTCCTGCGGAGCAGAGTGGCAGCGTGTCTAGCTCCGGCTGGGCAGCACGGCTGCCAGACATGCTGCTCTGAGCGGCACGGTAAGGGAGCAGGGGGTTGGATAAGGGGCAGGGGGTCCCGGAGGGCAGTCAGGGGACAGGGAGCTGGGGGCGGTTGGATGGGGTGGAGGTTCGGGGGGAGGGGCGGTCAGGGGACGGAGAAAAGGGGGGTTGCATAAGTGTGGGGGTCCGGGGGATGTGGATAGGGGTCAGGAGACAGGGAACAGGGGCGGTTGGAAGGTGTGGGGACCTGGGGCACCTGTCAGAGGGTGGGGGTGTGGATAGAGGTCAGAGCAGTCAGGGGACTGGGAGCAGGGGGGGGTTAGATAGGGGTGGGGTCCCGGGACGGTTAGAGGTGAGGGCTCCCAGGAGGGGGCAGTTAGGGGACAAGAAGCAGGGAGAGTTGGATGGGTCGGGGGTTCTGAGGGAGGCAGTTGGGGTAGGAAGTGGGAGGGGGCGGATAGAGGGTGAGGGCCAGGCTGTTTGGGGAGGCACACCCTTGCCTACCCAGCCCTCCATACAGTTTTGCAATCCCAGTGTGGCCCTCAGGCCAAAAAGTTTGCCGACCCCTGAGTCTAACCTGCCCAGGGCAGATGTAGAGCTCCTCCTGCCAGAGGATTCCGATAGGGGCTGCCTGTCCCTATGGGAGCCCCTAGGTCTGAGACTATTCCTGGCATTTAGGGAGTCCCTGGACATGAGGGCTGGGCACTGGCTGGTGCTCACGGTGTCGCCAATGGACTAGGAGAATCTCCAGTGGCAGAGATGCTCCATGCAAAACTGAGCCCTTCTGGATGGATGGAGCCTTGTCCTCTGGGCTGGCCTCTCTAGCTCCCACCACAGCATGAGAGAGGGGCTGGAGCTTCGGGGCTCAGCCTCCCTCTTTGTGTGATCTGGGCCTACGTGAGGTCGAGGAAGGTTCCCTGAGGTTCACAGTCTCTGTAAGGAGGGAGAGAACATCTCCTCTGGACTCTTGGCCTTTCTTTGCCTGTCTCCCCATGACAGACAGCCCCAGCGTGGTCAGTGCTGTACTCAGGGCTGGATTAATGCAGGAGCTTTAGGGGCTGCAGCCCAGGGCCTTGGGCTAAGGGAGGCCTGCGGGTCGGATGTGGCCTGCTGCTTCTTTTCATCCGACCCGTGGCAAGTCTCCGCACCGCGGGCCGGACACTGGTTCGCGAGCCTCAGCGCCCCCACTTTCCTCCCCCCCTGGCCACAGCGCCAGCTCCCATTAGCCAGGTACTGCAGCCAATGGGAGCTGCGGGGGCAGTGCCTGCGGTGCGTGTGGGCACAGTGTGCACCACGCAGAGGAGCAGGGCCCCTCTGCCTAGGGGGCCGTACATGCTGGTCACCGTGGGGAGCAGAGTAGCATGGAGCCAGGGCAGGCAGGGATCCTGCACCCCAACCTCCTACCCCAGTCCGGAGCCCCCTCCTGCACCCAAACTCCCTCCCAGACCCCACACCCTGAACCTCCTGCTGGACCCCAACCCCTTGTCCCATCCCTGGCTTCACCCCAGAGCCCACCCCCCCAGCTGGAGCTGCACCCCGTCCCGCACCCCAATCCCCTTCCCCTGGCCCTAAGCCCACTCCCCCACTCCAAATCTAATAGCCCTGGGTTCACAGGAGAGTTAATCCAGCCCTGGCTGTACTGCAGCATCTATGCAGTATTATAGCCCTACCCGGCCCCCAGCACCCCTTCCTGTAGTCCTAGCACTGGTGCTCCCCAACCCTTCCCACCTCCATCCCATCCCTGGGAGTTCCCAGTTCTGGCTCTCATTCTCCTTCCATGCCACAGGCCTTCCAACCCTCATGTGATCCTGTCTCCCACCTGGTACATTTGAGGGGGTGTCTCACGCTGTGCTGTCTGGCTGAGGGTGCATGGGCTGCAGAGCTGCATGTGAGGGGCTGCTGCTTGAGCCCCTCACCCACCCCTCCTGGCTCACTTGTGCCTTTGAGCCAGTTCATTCCTGAGTCCCCTGGGCCCCTCTGAAAATGATGTTTGGGTGCCCCCCCAAAACCATGCCCCACTCCCCTGGGCTGCTCAGTCACAGAGGGCACCCCCAGCTTGGAAACCCCCCAGGTGCCCAGCTCTCCCTGAAGCCCCTACACACCCACGACAGCACTTTATGTGAACTGGCAATGGGGAACTTCCCCCAGGTCCCCCGGCAGCCTGTGTGGCACAGAACCAGAGCCATGGTGATTGCGTGTGTCACGGGGGCTGAGAAATCGCCCCGTGCTGAGCACTTGTGACTGGCTACGAATGTAAAAGCTCTCCAGTGTTGTGAGCAACTGGCAAGGTGCAAGCCAGAGTGAGGAGACTCCCCGCCTGATCCTCAGACATCAGGCAGCTGGGCCAAGTGCTCAGCACCACCTCCTTGAATTTGGGAACAGACCAGGCTAGACGCCATCTCGCTGCCACCAGCCTGCCAGTGCTGCAGCTGGTGATGGCTGTTAGAGGGACAGCAGGGACAGAGTACTGAGGAGAACCATCTGCAGAGGCTACCGAAACCTTTAATCTTCCCCAGCAAATCCCACCCCTCCAGATGCAGGCCCACTGGGAAAATTACCTAGTACCACATTGAATTAATAGGGCAGAGGAGGGTGTCATAGCAGATGGGCAAAGAGCACAGAGCAGAGCCCACAGAGCCAGTCAGTACACTAGGCCCGGACTGGCTTCAGCAGTGGATTTTGTAAAGCTTGGTGAGCATCGTTCCCCGAGAATCATCTGAACGTTTCTTCAGTCCCCTCAGCGCGGGATCCGGCCAGGCTCAGGACAAGGTACAATGGCCCTGCTGCTGAAACAGAGCAAAACGCCCAAGTGCTGTAAATCATAGACTCTGGTACATCCCACAGGCAATAGCTCTCCCCGACTAGGTCTGTACGCCGACAGACACGGCTCAGCAGGGAGCAGCTGGGGCAGGCCAGACAGGCACAGATTAGGAGGAAGTTTTATGTCACTCAGACCTCACGGGGAGGGGATTTTTCTGGTCTTTGGTGCTGTCAGACCTTTGAGTGAATAAGTCCCTTGGCAAGGCCCTTTTGAAGTTTGGCACTTGAGAGCTGTTGGTGACCAACCTATTGTGTCT